CTGGCTGAGATCAGTGAGCCCAGCACAGACTGAGCTCAACACCATTGGTGACGTTCTCATCTATGGTTTATTGCTAGGCCAGACACTGGGTTTATCATTAGAGTATTGTGGGGGGGGAATGGTGTTTTCTTTCAGGCCCGGTCTTTAGGGTTCTATTTACATACACCTTTCAAAGTGTGATTTTGTGGTAAAATTTTATATTAAGTGTGGAGACCTGTAGCTTATTGGTTAGAGCACTTGCCTCGTAAGCGAGAGGACCTGGGTTTGATTCCCGGCAGGATAAAACGTTGGGCTGTCATGCTTGGTACGAATTAAATTCCACCTAGTATTAACATTTTGTCTTAAAATGTAATATAAAGCAGAATTACAAACATTTTTAAAAATTTGTCTTAATTTGGAATACTTTTCTCAAAAAATATACAGTCAATTCACTTTACAGTATATTCTGTGAAGCACTCAGAGATGTCTCGAAGTCGTGATAAGGCACTGTATCAAATGCAAGGATTATTATTATTATTGATCAAGCAGACCATACCTGTGTGATCTGAGGACATTCTTACTGCAGTATTACCAGGATAATGGAATAGCAATTGCGTTTCATTTAACACCTTACCTTGTCACAACACATTTCACGCAAGGAGTCACTTTAAAGTACAAACCTGCTGTTATGCAGAAAAATGTGACAACTAAAACTGTGTTAGCAGTGTGATAAATGGGCAAATTTAATCTGTCTTTAGTGAATTTGGATAATTGATGAATATTGGCCAGGACACCAAAAAAACTCTGTGTTCTTCATTAGCATCCACTGGAACCTGGAGAACGGACTGTTGTAATCTCAATAATGTGTACTGAATTGACTTCACTGTGACTATGGAAGTGAGAGTGAGAGGTATTCTAGTAATATCCATAGTCCTGAGTAATACAACCTCGCTGTAATAGGTAACCTTTATTACTGATAATTATGAGTTTATAATGATTGCTGCTTCTTTTTGTTTTTCCCCCCTATGCAACATATCTTCACCCCAGACTATCTTTCGTCTGGGAAGAGCAGGTGAACATGGCAGCCAATTTGCACACATAATGTGTCATAAACAACTATGAAATGAATGACCAATTTTATTAGGGATTGCTGGCCAGGACACAGGGAGAAACTCCCATCTTCTTGAATAGTGCCATGGTATCTTTTACATCCACATGAACAGGCAAACGAGTCCAAGCGAGCATCAGTTATATCTAAAAGTGGGTTTTCCACCCCATCCTGAGATGTGTTTTCATCTCATCTCCAGATGTAACGTCACTCGACACTGCAGTCAAACAGCTCATTCATTCATTTCTGCACTGTAAGGCTATCCCATAGGAAACGTGCTCCATTTCTCCTTCTTTTGTTGATGACTTGTAACAGCTGAATGAAGAAACAAAGAAGAACAAGTAAGTTAAGAAAGGAAACAAATAGAATATATTTCACAAGAAAATCTCTTATAGTGCTGCTGCACAGTGATTTTTGGATATTGGGATTTGGAAAAGTTCACTTCATTTTGATTTCTCTAACAATATTCCCCATCCCCACCCCTTCCTCCTCACCTGGATGTGCTAACGTTTGGCTGTGCTGCAGTCTCATTGACTCTAGCCAACCTAGCCATGTACTTTGCTCTTGTGTCCATTCTCTAGTGGCTGTTCAGCTACAGAATTCACAGTACCTGTAAGTCCTGGGAAAGGCTTTAAGACATCCTCCGAGCTGAATTGCGTAATATTAATTATAAGGATTTTTATTATTATTACTGTATTATTATCCTAGGTAAGTCTAATTCTGTCCTTAAGAGATACTTACTAGAACAGGTATGATTGGTAAATTGGTTCAGAGTTACTAAGATCAGGGAACATACATAGAATTACTAACATAGAATGTTACAGCATGTAAACAGGCTATTTGGCAAGAATATTCTGCATTTCCTCATATTTCCCACCTCAGAGCTCTAAACTCCAAAAAAAATTGTAATAATAAATTGGTGACTCCACGACTAATTGTGGGACACTGATGTGCAATTGGCTGCTGCGTTTCACCAACAAAATACACAGTCAATTCGCCTTGCAAGTGAGAGACCTGAGTTCAATTCCAGGCAGGGCGAAACCTTGGGCAAGTTTCCTTACTCCACACGCCTAATAATAATCCCTCCAAAACCAAAAACAATAATAAAAATTGGTCATTTTCAATCTACGACTGTTTGTGGGACATTGCTGTGTGCAATTGTCTGCCGCGTTCGCCCACAAATATACAGTCAATTCACTTTACAGTATGTTCTGTGAAGCGCTTTGGGACATCCTCCCGACGTGAAAAGCGCTATATCAAATGCAAGGATTATTATTATATTATTATTTACGGTATATTCTGTGAAGCGCTTTGAGACGTTTCAAAGACATGATAAAACGCTATATTATTATTATACTCATAATTTTATTATTATACTCAACACAAACAGGGACCGAACCTGGGACCTCCGTGACTTGAGTGACTTTGATTCATAACAAGTTAATGGAGTAACCGGAAGAAATCAGAACCCAATTGGAACAAAACCTTGGACTTGGTTAACAATTGTATCAAAGGAGTTAAAGGCTCTGCCTTGTGATGATGACTCAGTCAGGAGAGCTCCTGCGTGTAATGAACTTGAGTCATAGAGTTCAGAAAGATCACAGGTTTAATGCCCGGTCTATGCTGAGCAAGCAGCCGAGGCAGGAGCCTGGGCTAAAATTAGCCTCAGGATTAGGGAGGAAACAACTAACCATGATTCTCATTCCCGCACGCAAGTCCAGTGACTGCAGCTGGAGAGGTGGCACATGTAAAGTAGGTAGAAGGCTGTACCAAAATGAACTATTGTGACTCTCCCCTCCCCCCCTCCAATGACTGGTCTCAGTAGATCTGTACTCCTATGTAAGTCAGCACCTTCAGGAGAAGAGGGGGGATTCATGTAACTCCCTATCAGAAGACTCAAGTTGCACAAATTTGTAAAAAAAAAATTCAAAACAACTTTATTTTATTAGTAAACACAATGCTTTATTCAACACGTCATAACAAGCCAATTATTTTCACACTTAATAATCTCTACCTATTATTGCCCAAGGAAATCAGATACACTTTATGATATATATTTGCTAATCCTTTGACAATATAATAGCTTAAGAAATGGTACGACACCTGAAGTTCAGGACTGTATTTAAAGGAAAAAGTGATGACGCCCAACAATATATCACTTCCTGTTCAGTAAGATGCACGCAGAAAGGCTGTGCAGTGCTTGTTATTCTAGTGTGAGTTTGTAAAAGAATGTAAGAAAATAAATGTAAATCACACTGATAGCACAGAAGCAATGTGTATAATGGCTTGGTGGGTAAATGCATTGTGTGTTGGAGTACTGATTCTCACTGACCAGGCAGGTTCAGATTAGATTTCTGATGTACATTGTTACCTGGTCTCAGATAAGTCAAGGTAGTGGGAGGGATGCATTTTTGTCTCAGGCCAGGGAGACGGAAATTTAAGGAAGAGGACCTCTTTTTTCATTGTTTTCCAGTGACTGCTGTTGGAAGGTGCATTGGGTTTGGCTGTGAAGGCCCCTTCCCCAGAGTAACTAGAAAATTAATATCTTGGAGGAGGAGCAGAGCGCACAAGATTCCCCCAAAGCAGGAAGCAAAATATCAAAATCTAGCTTACCCCAAGCCTCTCCAGCAACTACCACTATCTGTGTCAAGAGAAGACACCAGTTGATGTGAAACTGGGATATTTCATAGTATCCAGAAATTAGCAATAATTGAATTGAGTCCTAACTTTGACATTGGCTTTCTGTAATTCTTAAAATAAACTTACAGAAAAACAACTTCAGAAATTAAGACTGTATTTGAGAATTTACCTCCACCCCTCTTGATTTTAACTCAGGTGCAAACCTTTAACTCAAAGCTATTCAGGAACCTCGGTGCTATGTTCGACCCTGAGCTGTCCTTTCTTCCCCACATCCGCGCCACAACTGGCACCGCCTTCCACCACCTCCGGAACATCGCCAGACTACGGCACTACCTCACCCCTCACGCTGCTGAAACACTGATCCACGCCTTTATTACCTCAAGGCTGGACTATGGGAACTCTCTCCTCGCCGGCCTTCCCGCCACCTCCCTCCACAAGCTGCAGGTCATTCAGAACTCTGCAGCTCGTGTACTGTCCCGCACCAGGCTTCGCGACCACATCACTCCCACCCTCGCTCGCCTCCACTGGCTCCCCATCCCCCAGAGGATCGAATTCAAGATCCTCATCCTCACCTACAAGGCCATTCACGGCCTTGCACCCTCCTACCTCTCTGACCTACTATCCCCCTACTTACCTGCCCATACCCTCCGTTCCTCTGGCTCCGGTCTGCTCCACATCCCCCGCTATACCACCCTACCATCGGTGGCCGGGCCTTCAGTCTCTCAGCCCCTAGGCTCTGGAACTCCATCCTCCAGTGCCTTCGCCGCCTCCTCCCTTTCCTCCTTCAAGGCCGGTCTCAAGACCTTTCTCTTTGACCGTGCCTTCAGCTCCCCTCTCGACTCTCTACCCCCTCCTCGCTCCCTCCCTTCCCTCCCCTCACCCTGACCATTTCCCCCCTGCTCGGGTCCCGACCCAACTGTCCAGCACTTTGGGACGTCCTCCCGACGTGAAAGGCGCTCTATAAATACAATCTTGTTGTTGTTTAACTTTCCAATGTCTTGGGACGTCCTTCCGATTTGAAAGGCGCTACATGAATGTAATTTTGTTGTTGTTGTTGTAAGATTCTGGCTTCTCTGAAATACCAAGAAAATAGACCCACTTTAGACTCAGGTGGAATTTCTATCTACCCCAATGTCTTTACAATGGAAAATTCTATTTTGAAAACATTGCGAGACATTTTGCTGTATGTGGGCATCGAGGAAAGATGACCCAATTGTATCAGTTTGCAGGACTCTTTAGTTTGACCAGTAACAACTGATGATTACTCTTGCAGGTGGTTGCCCGTGACCTGTTAGCTCAGTACGCCCGGCAATATGAAGAAAGACCAGTGCTCGAACTGCTGAAACACTGGACCGCTTCCACAGCCGACAGTTTAAGAACCAGGTATAGCTCTGTGTAGTGTGGATACCTGTCAGTCGGAGTGAACCATCCATTTAATTTTCATTCCCCGCCCACCAATCCCATTACGTCTTGTCTCCACGTTTTGATTGCGGTCTTAGGTGGAGAAATTCTTTTTGAAGATAATTTGACAAACAAATTTTGACATGTGTCTATTTGTGTGTAACATTCAGTACTGGGTCAGGCTCATCTGATTTCCTCCCTACCACTCACAAAAGTCAAATTGTTTTGGCTAACACATGAAGAAGGGTCATAGAACCACAGAACATACAGCACAGTCCTCATTCGTCCCATTGTGCCTGTGCTGGCTCTCTGAAAGAGCTATCTGTTTAGTCTCCTGTCTTTTCTCCATATTCTTTTATTTTTCACCAATGCAACTCTGCTGCAGGAGAGGGATAAGTGGATAAGGATAATTGGAAGAAAATAGGTTTCTCTGGGACTTTAGAGTCACAGCATCAGCAGTGGAAGACTTGCTGTCTTACATAGATTTTTTTTTCTGCGCCTTGGGACATCCTCCTGATGTGAAAGACACACCATAGATGTAAATTTACTGTTGCATTTACATAAATTGTACATCACAGAAACAGGCCATTCGCCCAACAAGTCCATTCCAGTATTTATACACTACATGACTCATGTGATTCAAGATTCGTGATTTACATTTGAACCCTTGTTTCAATTACTTTGGAAAACGAGTGCTGTCCACAACACAACTTCAGTGTAGCAGTGCTTTGGGAGGAGGGATGGTTTTGTGTCAGACATGCCATCCTCTGATGAGACATTAAACCGATGTCCCGTCTGCCTATTCAGGTGGATGTTAAAGATCCCATGACACTATTTGAAAAGAGAAGGGAGTTTCGTCCAGTGTCCTGAACAACAATCTCCCCCCCCCCCAACGCCCCCAACTGGGTCATTCAGATCATGGCTGTTTGTGGGACATTGCTGTGCACAAATTGGCAGCGTGTTCACCGCAGTGTAGTACACAGTCACTACACTGCAGTGAAATCTTATCAAGCCTTTTGGGACATGCTGAAGATGTAATAACAGACTATTTAAAACCCAAAGATTATTAAGTTATTATGAACACCCTGCAGTAGATTTAACTTACGAGTCTTGGGAGTAAAGAATTCTGTTTCTACAATATGCTGAAATTCATTTCATTCCACTTCCCTAGATAAGCAGTATTAGGAGCTTGACAAAGCTAGACGGCTTCCATGATTTATTTATCACATTTGGCTTGAAAGCTGACTTTGGACCTTTGATCTTTTGTGGCAATGTGGCTGGGAGCCCCTAGATGCTAGTACTCCCGTCATTACCCATGTCGATATATGGATATTGACTTAGATAACAGATAACTGTGTCTGCTCGTAAACACGCACTTTCTTAAAAAAAGACTTATAGATAGAACGCTAAATTCTAGGAAAGTTAGGTATAAAGGTTTTGTAAATTTTCCTCAGCTGCTGGTAACCTGTTTTTTGTGTTTTATTAATAACAGGCAGCTGATTTCTATCCAGTGGAAAACAGGTTTCGATTCATCCTTTGTTTTAACTATTTTACCATGACTCATGATGATGTAGGGTAAACATTCTGGAAGGATAAGATTGGATGGACTGAAGGGCCTTCTTCATTCAAACCAATCTTGTGATCTTGTGATAATCAAATGCAAGGATTATTATTGGGGAGTGAATACCCCTTGGGTTAGGGAAGGAAAGGGCTTCCATCAGCTTTCCCACTACCAAATACTAACTGGAGACCTGCTGGTCAAACAAATTCCAGCATGACTGTCAGGTTTGGATAGGATCAGGATGACTGATGCCCTGGATGAGGTACCAAGAAGCAATCGGCACTTCTGGAACTATACTTTGGAACAGCTGGGAGGTGGGGGGGTAAGGGGAGGGAGAAGATTGGACAGAAGGCAAAATAATGAGTAAATAACTGAGGGAGAAAATAATCCTGGAAAGTAAAGTACTCTGAAGCATAAAATGTGCTGGTGAAAGTGTTAATGACCCTTATCTGCTAATTCAAACTGAGCATTTGTGATTCAATTTTGAGTTATTTTGAGATAACTTTTTGGTCATTACCATTGAAAGAGAACACTAACAACAGTTGACAGAAGCCATGTTTAATACTATGGAGTATCAGAAACCAAGTCCCTTCCTTGCTCACAGTCATCCACAGCACTTTAGCCCTGGGAATGGAGCAGAACTTTTTATTCTCCTCTGCGTATACTCAAATCAAACTTCCATCTATTTCAGTGTAGAGTGTATACTGGATAACAAAGCTCAGAGAAAACCAATGTGATGATGCTTGCTTTAAACAACATAAAATATAAGCACACTTGGCCTGCAATATTGATGTTCTTCTGGAGGTTGGTAAGCTGTCTGTGGGTTTGATAAAAGCTGATTCGGATGCATCAGGATTTACTAGAAACTGGCTCTGTTTATAAACACAACAGAGTTCTTGCAGTCACCACTTTGCTACATGAAGTAGTTTTATTATTCCTCTCCAGTAGATGGATAAAAGTTACATTTTAAGCCATACTGAATAGATGCCTAGTACAGGTGACTCGTTTGTGCTTGAGAATGAAGTAATGCACCTTTTGTTTACATAAAGTCATTTAAAGGTCAAGGTTTCCAGTTCCCTGGTTAAAAAATGCGACTAATACATTACTGTCCAAGCTTCTGTCACTGCTTCCTTTAAATCAGTGCAGATAGTGACTTTGTTACAGGTCTGCGACTTGACTTAAACAAAGGCAGACTCGAGACTCACCAGTGTCTGAACAAAGTTCTTTCAACTCAGATAAGTGCCTGAGGCACACTGAGTTGCATTATACACCCATTTACGTTGAGAAGTTGGTGATGATCTCCCAGATTACAATGTGCCCACAATATTGATGTGTCTTAAGCACTGCAGGAGTTTCCATTTGCCAAGCTTCCTGTGTGCGGTTATAAATAATTTATAATTTGGTTTATATTTTTTAACTTTCTCCAGTTTTATTCTGTTCTCCAAAGGTGCTGGTACTTGCTTGTGTGAAGGCCCCTGCTGATATCTTGCTAAAGAGACCAATCTTCATGTCCGAGTTTGGGCACTGAGTGTTGGTAGGCTATTCAACCGTAGAGGGTTTTGCAGCTGAACTTGATCCTTGCCCATTTTATAGACACTACTCTCCCAGCAGGGAACATTAGATCAGAAGCATGAACCCCACATGAGTTTTCTCTCCCAAAATTAGGGGCCTACCACATCTGAGAAGGTCTATCTCAGTCCATTTACAGTCTGTACAAGCACAGCGTCAATCAATTTAGACCTTTATTATCAAGTTATTTACACTGTAAAATTGCCCTGCCCTGTATATAAGGGTAATGTGCCGTGCAAACATCACTAAAATAGCATCTGGTCCTGATGTATTTATAATAGGAAATTGTCATATAATGGGATAATGAGAAGATCACTATTTTTAGTGATAGCGTGAAGTAATCGCGAAGCTCTCCAAATTAGTCCAGAGCATTAGTGTCGGGTCCATGATCACAGCTGCGCTGGAATGGCCATATTTTCCAGACTTCAGAAGACTCCCAAACCACACACTGCAATGCCAGTCTAACCAAGGCAAACAGCTGGTCAGCATAAGCACATTGAGGACACTCCAAAACGTGACTTTCAGCTGTCAACATCACCATCGACACACTGGGAATGTAGCCACAAACAGAAGTCAACGGCGGAGTGTCACTGTCAGTGTCACCAGTCTACAGCAGTGAGATCAGAGACAACCTCCAGTTACTTTCACATCCAATGTGCAGCCACGTTTGTCTCTCGTTGTATCTTAATTGAGCTCCAAAGTCAACAGCAGAGTAACTGGCCACTTTCCCTGTGCTCTGGCTGTGTGAGGCACCCTTATTCCAATGGCCATCCAATTATAGTAAACGCCCTGTATTGTTGAATAGCTTTCCAACACGCACTATCCAGGCTCACCCAGAGAATGACCAGTTGGGCGAGGTACCAGTCGGGACCCCAGAAAAAATCAGTGTCTTCAGGAGCGAAGGGAGGGGAAGAAAAATCTATGATTACTTCTTTCAATCCTAGTCACTGATACTGTGTCTAATTTTGTTAAACTGTGATATTGAATATAATTTTAGATATGAAATCCTTGCTCCAAACTTTACCCCAAAGTATATTTAACAGCTGGTAGACTGACTCTCTTGTTTTTTCTCCTGATAGTTTCCTGGCGTTTAACACAGAGGTGGTGGGTTGCCTGAGCTTCTTACTGAAAGCGTTGAATTTTCGAGAGAGGGTGCTGCAGCGAAGCTTGTCAGCCAGACTCTATGACAAGGTAAAATCGGAAGTGAGATTAACTCCATTGATAATCCTGCTTCAGTTCTTCAGGTTCCTCTGTCTACCTCGGTCACCGGGGTAACCAGTCTAAAAGCAGACAGCCGCAAGGAGAGCTTAAAATTTGCCCACAAGCAAAATGTGCTCATGTGTGATTACAGTAAACCTCTGTCAATGGGAGAGTCAGCCCTGGCTCTCCTTCGCCACATAATTGTCGAATACAGTGAGTCATGGCTGAGGCCTGGAAAGAGAGTTCTCTTTGTAATCTCTACTCTGGGAAATCATCCGTGATGTCCCAACATCTACAGAGAGAAAGAGCAAAAATAACATAGCAGTGGTTAGAGAGCGGAGAGGAACTGCAGGAATTTTACAAAAGCAGTGATCACACAGTCCTCCCTCTTGTACCTCACAGCACAAATGTACAAGTTATTGTTCTGTACAACAACAACAAATTGTATTTATGTACCATGTTTCACTATCTCGTGTGGTGTCCCTCAGGGCTCTATCCTCGGTCCCCTGCTCTTCACCCTCTATATGCTCCCCCTCGGTGACATCATCCGCAGACATGGGGTTAACTTCCACATGTATGCGGATGACACCCAACTCTACCTTTCCTCCTCTACCCTCAACTCCACGACCACCGATGTCCTGACAGCCGCCTGTCCGACATCGAGTCCTGGACGAGAGACAACTTTCTTCAGCTCAACGTGCGCAAAACTGAGGCCCTCCTGATTGGCTCACGTCAGCGCCTCCGCACCTCAGGCGCTGACAGCATCAGCATCCAAGGCTGCACTCTCCACCTCTCAAAGCCAGTCAGGAACCTCGGGTTCTGTTCGACCCTGAGCTGTCCTTTCTTCCTCATATCCGCGCCACAACTGGCACCGCCTTCCATCACCTCCGAAACATCGCCAGACTACGGCACTACCTCACCCCTCACGCTGCTGAAACTCTGGTCCACGCCTTTATCACCTCAAGGCTGGACTATGGGAACTCTCTCCTCGCCGGCCTTCCCGCCACCTCCCTCCACAAACTGCAGGTCATTCAGAACTCTGCAGCTCGTGTACTGTCCCGCACCAGGCTTCGGGACCACATCACTCCCACCCTCGCTCGCCTCCACTGGCTCCCCATCCCCCAGAGGATTGATTTCAAGATCCTCATCCTCACCTACAAGGCCATTCACGGCCTTGTTCCCTCCTACCTCTCCGACCTACTATCCCCCTACTTACCTGCCCGTACCCTCCGTTCCTCTGGCTCCGGTCTGCTCCACATCCCCTACCATCGGTGGCCGGGCCTTCAGCCTCTCAGCCCCAAGGCTCTGGAACTCTATCCCCCAGTGCCTTCGCCACCTCCTCCCTTTCCTCCTTCAAGGCCGGTCTCAAAACCTTTCTCTTTGACCGTGCCTTCAGCTCCCCTCTCGACTCTCTACCCCCTCCTCGCTCCCTCCCTTCCCTCCCCTCCCCTGACCATTTCCCCCCTGCTCGGGTCCTGACCCAACTGTCCAGCGCCTTGGGACGTCCTCCCGACGTGAAAGGCGCTTTATAAATGGAATCTTGTTGTTGTTGTTGTTCACGTCAGGAGGACGTCCCGAGGCCCTGGCACTTTAGGGCCGCCTTGACCTGCAACCTGCTGTCATGTCAGCGAATAGACAAAATAGAAAGCAAATTAAAAAACTAATATTCAGGTGGCCTAGTTTGTAACACCAGCTTCCATTGTGAAACTGAACCATAAGATTTCAGACCCTGTGCTGAGTTAGCTAATCTCAGCCAAAGCACAGATTTACCAGTACAATTGGCATTAATGCATAATGTAGCAAAAGGAACATTAGATGCTGCTGATTACCATTCAGTGGTCCCTGCTGGGTGACATTAGGCTGACATCACTCACTGTGTGGGCTGAGATATTATGTGTGGTCACTTGAAGCGAGTAACGGAGGGTGCCTCGTGCTTTTGGAACTGCTCCCGAGTATCAGAGGAAAAGAAATAAAGGAGGTGGGGATTTATTCCTTTAGTTTATGAAGAATTATTCCTGTTATCATCTTTGAGTAGCCACCGACAGTGACTCCACTATTGGGTGCAGCCTCAAAGCATCAAATTGGTAGCCAGACCCACCACAAAAGTGTTTCTTCCTGACGCCCACGTGGCAATTTAAATGAAAACCAACTTGCTCACTCAGAGGCTACTAGTGAGATGAGTGGCTCAGCCTACACACACACACACACACACACAGTCTCCTTTTGCTCACTGATCTTTATGGACTTTCCCCAACCAGTGGCCAAGAATCAGTCACAACCCGCAACTTAGCAGCAATTGCGTGCGTGTTGCATTGCTTTTCTGCTCTGGCTGTTGTGGAAACTGCCCTTTGTTATAAATAAGTCTGTTACCACAGTAACATAGACCCTAAGGAAGTGTTGACAAAACTGCTTCTCTCCTGAAGACCCTGACTGGTGCTGGTTTGTTGCTATGGATAGCCAGAGTCATTGATACTTTGCGTAGCTAGACATTGTACATGTATAAGTCTGGACTCCCACAATTCCATCATATTACCACTGGATAATCTGGAATACTGGATAATAATCTGGTGTCTTCCCCACTCTCTCCAGTTCTCCACAACCCATCCCCAAAGCTTGGGCTCCCAGTCAGCTGTGTGAAGCACTTTGAGACATCCTCCTTACGTGAAAGATACATAAATGTAAATTGTCGTGTAAAGTACAACCCAAAAGCTCTCTAAAGTGACAATCATGTGATAATGATTTGGAAATTTGCTCTGCCATTTATTTTTAATTGTAGCAAGTACAGCTATTTTATTTTTATGATGAAGTGAGAAATATTATTGAATTCAGCTGCACATTATTGGAGCTGAGAATTAATGTCTTGTATGCTTACTTTCTTCTATCTGCCCCACTCTCTGGAACTCCATCTTGGGTCCTTCTGACTTGTTCCCTCCCTCACCTCTTTCAAGGTCCATCTCAAGACCTTCCTCTTTGACCGCGCCTTCGGTCATTTTTCCCCTCCCCACCCTCTCGGCACTCATCCCCAGCTCGGATGCCTAGCCAGGACTGCCAAACATCTTGGGACATCCTCCCAACGTGAAAAGTGCTATTTAAATGTAAATTTATATTTACTTCTATTTGCAGTTATTTCAGTGATGTTAAGTAAATGCCCTGAACTTATATACTTTTAAATATATAACATTTTAGAGGTAATATTGTTTTACTCTGGACTGCTAGAGCATTTCCTCCTTTTGTTAGGTAAAGAAAAAGAAAGAAGAATTTTTCAGTGCATGGAACTCCTGCCTCCACCATGTTGTTGCCCTCGCTCTGGCTCACGTTCATCGAGGTCAGTGACAAAAAATATTTGAAAACCTTTATTTTTTTTTAAAAAAATTGTTCCCTTTCCCATACTTCAATGTCAACACATGGCACACCTGTTGTAGCAGAGGAATCAGCTTTCAGGTCACGCTCCATACACAGCTGAGAACTGGCCAATGCTATTGCTTTGTCCCCCTCCTTGCTTGTGAGGAAGTGCCTGGTGTCTGCCAAGGCCTTTCCCTGATAGTTCATTGGAGATGGGGAAATGGGAATGCCCTGTTCCTGTAATTTTATGTTCCACTGTTTTGGAGCTCCAAGATGTTGTGACCTCGCAGTGCAATAGGACAGTGGCAATAAATGTACAGTCAACCGGTCTTTAACAACCACTTGTATAAAGTGGCCTTTATGTAAGGGTGGCCTCCAAATAAGAGTTTGTTGGTGTGCAAACCGGCCTGTCCAGGATGCTCCAGTGTAGTTGTTAACGGAGTGGTTGCTGAATGGAGATGGTTGCTTGAGACTGGACTGATAATCATAAATTATGTTGATGTTTTCTAGTGGGAAATGATTATTTTTGTGGCATTAATTGCAATGTCTGGGAGCTTAAACACTATAATGTGTGCAATAAATCTGTATTAAAGGAAATGTAATATTCCAGAAAAAAAAATATTCATGATAAGAATTGATTTAAGAAAAACATCCCCTGGCTAGTCTTACATGTACCTTGGCCAAGTGCCTTATCTCATCTCTCTGAGTCACTGTAGACAGTGTCAAAGTTGAATCTGATCCTGCATTTACCTGATGGCCCACAGTGAGCTTTCCAGCAGGGCTCACACAGCAAGGTGACCTGGAGTGAAAAAGCTGGCCAACTCCTTCCCCTCCCTTGCAAAGATGCTCAGACCTATTGCACTGCTCCTGCTGATGCCCCAGTTTAGGGATTTACCCATGTGCTGTGAACTCTAGGCCTCACTTTCACATTGTGCTGTGGGAAAAGATGACATTTGTAATTTTGCTTCCTGTTAATTTGAAAATAAGTTGTATTCAGAAAACATTAGTCAATATGGTCCTAAAAAATCCAGCCTTCCTTCCTGGCCAGTAGCATATATCTGCAACTTCATTTGTATATATGAGTAATGACAAAATAGAAATTATGTCATATCATGAATCTTATTTAACTTAATTTTCTAAGAAACTAACTGCATAATGTAAACATTGATGCTTGTCTTTGTTTATGCAAAATATGATTTGTTTGTACTTGAAGTTGAACTTAATGTGATATAACTCAATGTTCTCTGGCATTATAGGCACTACAGAGTTACTGCTCCCCAATAAAAAATTCACTTCAATAAATGTATTATTTTGGTATTTGGATTGCAGATCTGATTTTAATAAAAGTAATTTCAGTGCATTTAATTTTATTCAGTCATAAAATATCAATCTCTGAACTGTTCAGCTTTTAATTGTGTACAATAAATTGGAGTTTTGCTTTCCACCACTTGTTCTGCTTAGTTTAGGATGTCTGTACTGTGAAATAGATGTTGAGGAGAGGTATTACAAAATGCTATTGACCTTGGGCTGATGATGATCTCATCTATTTTGTTGATGCAGATCATCAGTTACAATTGATCTGATGTGCTAATTTATGAATTAAAATATTTTGTAATTGTTAAAGAAGATGTTGCCATCGATCTCTGCAGATTTCCTCAAATGGAATTTTTGTTTCAGTAAATTCTGAAATGCAGTTTCCATAAACAATCCTTTAGCCAGTAGACTTGTATTTTTGACTCAAACGACATAATGTGCAATTTTACAATGCTGTATATTTGATCTTGGTAAACAGTTCAACTCATTCTTGCTGATAAACCAAATGAGCCGTCCAACACAAGTTGTTTATCTGGTGATTCTACTTCATAAGTGGTTAGAGTGCTCGCCTCGCAAATGAGACTTGGGTTTGATTCCTGGCAGGGCAAAACCTTGGGCAAGTTTCCTTACTCCACACGCCTGATAATAATCCCTCAAGAGAAAAACAATAATAAATTGGTCAAGTTAGTCCACGACTGTTTGTGGGACACTGCTGTACGCAATTGGCTCCTGCGTTTGCCCATAAATATACAGTCAATTCACTTTACAGTATATTCTGTGAAACGCTTTTAGACATCTAGAAGATGTGGAAAGTGCTATATCAAATGCAAGAATTATTATTATCATCATTATAAACAATCCGACTCGAGAAAGACTAGTCTTTATTTGATTTGAGGGATGCGATGTTTTACATTTGATACTTATCCCATTTTTAGTTACCTTTTTGTGAAATAATCCTGTTTAGGAACATAGAAATGTGCAGGACCAAAAAAAAGACCATCTGGTCAGTCAGAAGTAATTTTTAAAAAAAATAAACTTCTGCACTACTCTATATAATATGATTGACATTTACAGAATACCTTTGTCTCAAAGTGTTTTTCACAGCTGGTTGGACACCTGAGCCCAGGGTGGGGGTGGAATCCGCTTTTTCCTCATCCTGATTAAACATTTTCCCAATCTTGCATAATGAGAAATACTGCAGCTTTGACCCTCATATAATTTTTAAAATTTAAAACAAAAATGCTTGTGCAAGGTTATAAACTGTCACTTTTTTTTAATGAAGCCAACAACAACAACTTGCATTTAGATAGCACCTTTCACGCAAGGTAGGCGTCTCGAAGCACTCGAATGCTAGTGGTCTGCTCAAATCATTTGAGGTCTGAGTTTGTGAATGCAAATCTTGTGTTGAATTCCTTTTAATCTCACATTGATTATGTGGCACAAACCCCCCCCAAAAAAATTTTTTTTTAAAAAGTCAGTCACCATCTTAAACTTAACTCGTGTGGGTCAGACTGTTTTAAGTCTGGTAAAATGTTCTGTAGGTAGCAGATAACCTTTTCAGTCATTTCAGCCACCCACACATGTAGAAAAATAAGCTTCAGAAAAAAGCATTGGACACTTTGCATGTAACATTAGTTCTGCTTTTTTGTTCAGTATCATATTATTGTTCTGTAAATGGAATACATGCCTTTATGGGTAAAATGCCAAATAACTGTACGTTATTTCTGAAATAAGCCTCTGCAGTAAAGCAGCCTTGCATGTGAATTGCATTGCTTGCAAATGACAAAACCAAGCATGCTCCCACAGTTCTTTTTCTATTTTCTCGAAGCTGAGTGAGGCCTTCGCAAAAGCATGCCATTCTTTAACTGCAGCATCACTTTGTTGCAGGCTGCACACTGTCAATCCACACAACGAAGAGCACAAGATAGTGCACAGTGTTGCTACTTTATTGCTCTGATTACAGCAGTCATGCTGAATGCACATCTTTGATTCTTGCAGAAAAAAGAGACATACATAAAGTTTGGGTGGAGGAAGGGAAAATGATCTTGTGCTGAATCTGTTTATTCTTTTTGTTGTGGCAGTGACGTTAGAACAATTCTGGAAAGCTGTGAAAGAGTGTCCTGAGCCCAAAGACCAAGCTTTACTAAAAAAGGTGAGAAACCAGTGAACATCGCCTCCAAACCCGGCGAGTACATCTTGTACTTGAGCAAGTTTGCTCTTATCACTGAACCACATTGATGTTCTCTTCAGCTGTTGATAACCGAGTGGGGGAGGTCTGTAAATATCCCCGCTACTGAGTAGGTGGGCTGCAATGTTTCAAACCTATGTGCTGCCAGTTTATAAGCACTGGAGCCTGTGTACAAGGCTGACAGGAAAGTGGGTGTTGAGTGTTAGCTGGAATTTACTTCAGTTTTAAATAGAATTCAATTAGCTCAACTCAGCCCTGTCTTTCAGCAGAATTTTTTGAAGCAAATTTATCTGAGGTATTTCACTACACTAACTGAGAAGATGCTCCAAGTTGCTGAGCAAATCTGACTTATTAGCTTTAAGACCCAGGAGAAGTTAAAGCTGGAGTTGCTCTGACACACAAAATACACTGAATAACCTGTAGTTGGACTTTAGAAGTGGAGCAATTTTAATTTGAAATGTTAATTTAATATGTGGTTTTGTATGTGTTAAATATATATATATATATACATTTTAAAGAAACACAAAAGGGAATATTTTGCTCTGTTGCACATGTTTGGACTTTGGCTTTCCCATCATAAGTAGAATAACATCCTGAACTTTGAATGCAATTCATTACAGAAAAGACCTTAGACGGGAGACCTCCCAAGTGAAGCATTTAACGATGATGTCTTTATCTAATGTTTTAGAAATGTACTTAAATTAACGATATCTCCATTACTGACTTTTTCCCACAAGGCCTGCAGTATTCCTAATACAGCACAGCGAAGCCCGTTTTAATGTGGTGTTTGGGATCCATTAAATCTGTGTTATAACAAGGCACAATAGCAGGTTTGACTCTGCGGCCAACTCTTTGCGCATGGCAACAAAGCAGGAAGCGATAACCAACGGCAACTAATGACTAATGAAGTCGGATGCTTTAGCTCAAAAAGACAGACAGCATAGAGGAAGCTATTCTGTGAAGAGCTTTGAGACGTCTGGAAGATGTAATAAGGTGCTATTTCAGATGTAAGGATTATTATTATTATTATCATCATAAGTGAGTGGACCGTCCATTTGCAGTGAATGGGGTCATGGTGCAACTGTGAGTAAACTTGCACTATAATGGAGTTTAGTGCAAATTATAATGGCATTATAACACTACTAGACTGCATATCATAAATTATTTGAACCATCTAGATTAGTCCTTTATCAATCACAGATGAGTCCATATTGTGTGCACCTTATCTTCAAAAGGATGTAATTCCAGGATTTAAATCTTGAAGTTGTGAGGGGTAGTCTTCTCCTCACAACTCAAACATGTTCTAATTAGAAAAACAAAGATCCAGGCTTTTATAATGACAGGAGGTGTAGATGTAATCAGCAATTTAACTTGGATCATGAGAGCGGAACTAGAGGGCACAGGTTTGAAACGAAAAACATTAAATTGGAATAAGAGATTAGAATATTTTCCCCTCCATGTTGTAGTGTCTGTGCGGAACATTGCTACCAACAAACGCAGTTCATGCTGCGTTAACTCCTTCAGAAAAAGACCTGGATAGGTATCTGCTCCTGAGCAGTATTAGAGGATACACACAGACTAAGTGTAGACTGAGATGAACAAATGCTTCAAATGATACAATGGCCTCTGTGCTTTGGGGGGAGGGGGTGGTGTCTGCGCAGGATTTGATAGCAGAGCTGTGAGGGATGGTAAGATTCTGGACTTTTGCCTCCAGTGGGTCACAGAAATGTAAGTGGGGTCTCCTAGAGCTGAACTGGCTCCTAGGTGACATGCTTGTCAACAGGATATCAGAATCGAGCCTGCCCTCTGTGGCGGTCTAGGTAGTCTAGTTCCTGAGCCAGGCGGGTCCGCAGTATTCCAGGGGATTGCTGATGACAGCTCATCGGCAAGACTGCAGACCAGTCGCTGGGGGCAGGGATTCATGCCACTCAGCTCCTGTAAACCCTGCAGGCCAAAGTCCTAACAGGATTTTTACAGATAGTTCTAACTGGACAAGCAGCAGGAAAGCTTGCCAGACAGCATTTTCAACAGCAAGCTATGCAGTTTTAGCTGGTTAGACTCCAGCAGGACCCCAACACACTCTCTGGGGTTCCCAAGCCTTGGCTTTTGCCAACCTGCACCTTATACTTTCCGGAATTGAGTAAGCAGGATGCTCCCTCCAGGGAGAGAGTGCGTATTCCATTCCAACAATCTATCTCTGGGATTTCCATGTGTAGGTGGGCTGCATGCAATTCTTAGTTTGGTTTGGATACTCTTAAGCATGGGGATGGGTTTCCACATGTGTCAGACATTCAGCTAACTCCCCAAAAATGGATCAGAAAATCAGAAAGTAGCATGCAGAATGCAGAAATCTCCCCAGGAACTAGAGTGGATGGGTGGAATATATCATGTGGAAGGTTTTGTGGGGTCTGTTGAAAGAGTGGGCGGATTGACTTGTTCTCATTCACTGCTTTTTCATGTACTTAGTTTCCAATAGACTATAGATAGCATGTTTGTTTAAACATGTTTGTTCTTTGCCAAACATTGTTTTAAATGATTATATAACATATTTGTCATATGTTTGAAGTCATCTTTCCTTTTTCCTGAGGGAAATGTATTGGGGATACATGCTGGAACACAGTTAGTTTCATCATCTAAGTAGTTATTCTTCATGTATGAAGCTAGAGACAATGAGTGTCCACAGCCTATTAAATCATAACTGACTGTAGAACAGAGAACAAGTCTAGCTCACTATAGATCAGGGATCAGAACCAGCTGATTTATAGATTAGGAATCAAATCTAACTCATGAGAGACTAGGGGTCAAATCTAGTTAATTACAGATAAGAATTCACTATAGACCGGACTAGAATGCAATAAGGTGAATTAGGGTCAGGGAAAGTCCCACTGTTCAAATCTTGACCGTTGAGAGAGGTTATTATCAATGCGTTCTGTCTTACTGTTCACAGAAATGAATGGAAACAATAATTATGTTGTTGTGGAAACCAATCTAAAGTCACTGCAAGGTTGGTTGATTATAATCAGTATGTGTTTTTGATTACTGCGACTGCCTACTGATTGTGGGAACGGGAGAGAAAAAACAGGTTAAATTAGCAAAATGCAAAAGCCTCCACCTTGTTTGGTTCTATCATTTAATCAAATTATAGTTGCTCTCGTTTTGCAACAATGTTATGGATTTTATAACATCTGGATAATTAGAGTAAACAGAAATCGAGACATTCATTCAACCTGAAAGGCATGTTTTTGTGTAATTGGGTTTTGTTGATCTTTGCTTCAAAATGTGTCAAATAGCAAGATTTTGTGAGAAGCAATGTATCTGATAAAACAGGATTGCATCTTAATACCCGTGTACACTGCTGTGTGCAAATTCTTCCTGAGCACTTTGCCTCATGTCTCCTCAGCTTTTCAAGGGCTTGTCGTAAAACCATCTAATGAAGAACAACACAGCAAAGGTTCCAGTGACTCTTAAAAAGCCACTAACTAACCTGACAGCCTTTCTAAGCGATGCCTGCTATCAGCACTGTTAGTGTGGGACATTTAAACTCTCTGTGTGGCTCCTATTTTTGGAAAGTGGAATGGAAATTCACTGAGCCGTGTGGCTGTGGAGGTGCTGCTGTTGCAGTCTTCTCAAATACCAAATATTGCGCAAATTAGAATTGAGCTGAAGCAAAGGTTTTCGTACGTAAAATGCTGATACTTAAAAGCTCAATCAAGAAAAAGGACCTTGAACTTTCAGAGGCAAAAGAATGACTCAAGTATCAGTTTTTTTCCTATGTAAGAAGTCGCGCTCTCATACATCGGTAATATATTCTGTGCTAGGTTATACCCAGATGTATATAAACAACAGGCCTCAATCCGAATCAGAACTCCATTCCTCTTTCCAACTTTCAGAAGATTTCAGTTATGTCATACCTAATAATCTTAATAGGTTAGATTTCAGACATTTCTTAAGCACAGCCTGAAGCATAAGAGAGTTTATCTGGGACGTCCTCCCGACATGAAATGTGGTATACAAATGTAATTTGTTGTCGTTGTTATTTAAAAATGTATTCCTCTCAAAAAGAATAATCCTTCCATTTCATATATCATGTTAAAGCGCTTTACAGAGTTTTCTGTAAATGCAATACAATACTGCCGACATACATATATAGCACCTTTCACATTGGGTGCTATAAATAAGATATATATATATATATGTGGGCAGTATTATCTCTCAAGATGTCTCAAAGTGCTTCACACAGCTGGCAGGGCACCTGAGCTGGGACTGAGGGGGAGGGAGCTAAGAGGAAGAGGGAGAAAGATGATGAAAAACTTAATCAAAGAGGTAAGTAATTCAGAACTCTGCCACCCGTGTACCCACCCATTCTGAACTCCATACCCCCATCACACCAGCCCTCACCATGCTCCACTGGCTCTCTCTCACAGAACAGATTGACTTCAAGTTCCTCATACTTATCTACAAATCCCTTCACGCCCTGCACCTCCATACCTTTCCAACCTGCTTACTTCCCATTCCATCATCTGCCACCTTCATTCAGCTGGTTCTGCTCTCCTGCTTGTCCCTAATCTCTCCGCTCCACTATTAGCCACTGTGCTTTCAGCTATGACGCCCCAAAGTTTTGGTACTCTCCCTCAATCCCTCCATCGTGCCCCCTCCTTCCCCCTTTTCAGCCTGAAGACCTTCCTCTTCAACTATGCTTACAGTTACCCCCTCCCTCCCCTTGGCTCAGCATCAAGCTCTGCCACTGTTAAGTGCTCTGAGATGCTACATTGCAAGAATGGCGCTATATAAATGCAAGTTGTTATAATTGAGGTATAATATTGCATTTGCCTTGATGCCTTATCATGTTGTCAAGACAATCCAAATACAATACAGTATAACTTTACATTTACATAGCACCTTTCACGTCGGGAGGACATTTCAGAGGACTTAATGTATTTACTGTGAAGTGCAGTTACTGTGTGTTTGTAGGTAAACAAATACATTAAAGTGTAGTGACTGTGTATTTGAAGGCAAACGCAACAGCTAGTTTGTGCACAGCAGTGTCCCATAAACAGCCATGAAGTGAATGAGCATTTTTCGTGCCTGGGGGAAACTACCTTCTCTTATAGAATAGGATTGTTAAAGTCCACTTCAACAGGCATATGGCTCCTTGATTTAGTGTCTCAAATGAAGAAAAGCAACTCTGCCAATGCAACACTCCTCCAGCTCAAAGACCCTATATGCAGCTCAAACTTACAACCTTCTGACTCAGAGGCAAGAGTGCTATCAACCAAGCCAGACTGACAATTATCACCAGGACTTTAATTGCCTTTAAAAGCCTCATTAAAAATGGGGTTGACTGTGCAGTAATTTCTAACAAGATTCCTTCAAAGGAACCTAATGAGTGGGGTCTTCTAATATTTAGAGGTATGTCGGACCAACCAGTGGGCACTCCCCTATGAAAGTGATTGCCTTTCCAGGTGTTGGTGTGACAAATATCCAGGTTCTATATGATGAAATTCCATTAGAAATACTAGACTTTAGAGTTATGAATATGGAACAGTTGTGAACCTCTAACAAACCCGTTTACCTGGTTTAGTTTGCAATACTTGAGCGGAAAGTATTCCCCAGCGTTCCTGCTTCTGATCACTAGACAGTGACCGCTGCTCATTAGACAGTGACTCTTGCTAGATAGTGATCAGAAGAATCAATTGGCTGAGAATTGGGTGAAGCTGTGACTTCCTCAAATTCCCCCATCATTGAATAGCCTGTTGGCACTCGCTGTCAAACATATGCACAAGCAGTGGCTCTTTAGACAATATACAGCATGATACTTGTGGAACCATAACCCATGCAGGAGTCAAACAGTATCAGAATGGGAGAAAATCTACAATCTAAACTGTGCAGAGGGGAAAGAATGTCACAAAATCAAAGTCACCACTCTCAACATTCACTAATATTATTTTGCTGATGCTCCCAATTCATTGTAGTTCCAGAACCAAGTGAACAGGTTTGCTTGATGATGTGGTCGCAAGATGTGGTGATTGTTACATCCAGGCTTGTGCACAGAAAAGCACCCATCAACTTAACAAAGTAAAGTGTGTGACTGTAAGACCACCACTCACCCCAGGACTCGGGACTGCTCTTGCCGCTGAAACTAAATCAGCTGCTAGATAGCCTTGTGCACCCCACCAAACATAACTGGATGATCCTGGTGCGTAAAAAATACCCCGCGAGAAAGACTCTATATAAATGCAAGTTGTTGTTGCATAAAATTATATTTCTATCATTAGATTTACCCACACAATACACAGTCAACTCACTTTACAGTATATTTTGTGAAGGACTTTGAGACGTTTCAATGACATGATAAGGCGCTATATCAAATGCAAGGATTGTTATTAAATTAGATAAAACACCTTTCAAGTCGAGGGGGGCAGAGAGAGCGAAATATCTCAAAACACTTAACAGGATTTAGTAATGTGTAGTGACTGTGTTTTCTGTATGCTATCACGGCAGCCAATTTGTGTAAGCAATTTCCCTCTAGTGTTCAAACACTTGTTCCCTGCAACCATCTCTCAGGGTATACTTGAGCAGCAATTTAATTGTCTTCTTCTTCACCTTTGCAGATGCTAATCTATTAACATGATCTATTTAAAGCACCAATTAACACATACTTATTAAATGGATGGGGAATTTCCTGTTTCAGAGGGTGTGAACACCCATTTGTACTTCAACATGCTCTAGAATTTGTAGGTGGTGCAACTAAAGGAGCCACGTGTTGAAGCTCCCATGTTAGGCCGATCTCATTGCAGAAGTGCAAAATGTGCGCCACTATCTTATTTAAGCCAGGGTGGTGTCTTCAATGACCTCCCTGCTTGCCTCCCAGTACAACCCTCTGCTGGCTACTCTGCAGCCTATGTTCCACAAGGTCATCACTCCCTTTCTAAGATACACTATTCCCTATTGGATACACCATAAAATACTTATTCTAAGTTGAAAATGAGTCCTTGCCTTTGCCCCTCCCTACCCCTGTGACCTCCTGTTTTCCTCCCCTATTCCCTCTGCTCTGCCATTTCAGTTCTGCTCTAGATCCTCCATCCTACCATCTGATGAAAGCTTTCAGCCCCCTTGCCACACACTCTAGGACTCTCTCCCTAAACACCTTTGATTTCAAAAGCCTTCTTAAACATACCTGTTTGATTATAGCTTCACTCATCTTCCTCCTAACTCCCTGCTTTGTCCTTGCTCAGACTCCCATTCACACTCTCCAAAGCATTATGTAAGTACTTGTTGTTAGTGAGGGAGACAGTAACAAGGGCTTTCATTATGTGAATGCCTGGAACCCATGTACGTGTGTGATACAATGATGTTCTACACATGAACAGGAAACCACAAAATATTATGTGTGTGATACAATGGTGTTCTACCCGTGCACAGAATATGTTGGACCAAGAGCTCCCCAAGTTCCCAAATACTGAAAAAGAAAAGACTCCTTTGAAGCACTTTGAGATGTCCTTCTGATGTTAAAGGCATCATAATAATAATCCTTGCATTTGATATAATGCCTTATCAAGTCTTTAAAACGTCTCAAAGCGCTTCACAAGATATACGGTAAAGTGAATTGACTGTATATTTGTGGGCAAAACGCGGCAGCCAATTGCACACAGCAGCGTCTCACAAACAGTCGGGGATTGAAGTGACTAATCTTATTACTGTTTTTTGTTCTTGAGGGATTGTTATCAGGAGTGTGGAGTAAGGAAACTTGCGCAAGGTTTCGCCCTGCCGGAAATCAAACCCAGGCCATATAAATCAAACCCAGGCCATGTATTGTGTCAGGTAGTTCATGTGGAGAAAAATACCAGTCCAGTTACATTTAAAATATTTAGTTGGGCTAAACGTCCTTTTTCTGTGTTGTAACTTTCTACTATTCTAAGAAAGTTTTGCTGTACCTGACACACATTATTTGCCAATCGTAATATTGCTTCATCAGTGTCATAAAAGGTCATCTCTAAGTGACAAATCCATGTTTTATTTATTCTTTTTTTCAGTTTTGTCTTTTACACGGAACTAATCTCCTTTACCAGGAAAGAGCCTGGTATCTGGAACACAAATACCTGACTCCTGCAATAAGCGTGCAGATAAGGAACCAGGTAAGGATCATTCGTTAGCATTGTGCTACTCATATCAGGTAATAGAATCATTGTCAAAAAGAGAAGAGAAACATGGGTTTCATTGGAGACGTCACAAACAGCCAGTGAACAGCAGTTCTGCTGAAGTTCTTTTCATGGAAAGTTAATATTTAGTAGAGGAACAAAACTTATGGGCTAGGAGTGCAGATTTGTGGTATTTAAATAGCACATCATTCCTTTTAATGGTGTGCATTTGTTTTTGGCACAGAACTTATTCCAACAGCCCAGATCTTTTCTTTGACAAGCACCACAAGAACAGCTCTTATATAAAGGGCCTAGAAATGATAACTGCTGAAAATCTGACACAGAAACAGAAGTGCCAGAAATTAATAACAGATCAACCAGCATCCGAAAGGTGTTAATAGATTAAACGTTTCTGAAATGTTGACCTATCTTCCTCTTTTGAATGCTGGTGGAACAGCTCCTTTAATCCCATTCACTATTGTTGAGCCATTATTGCCCCTGGAATACTTTGTATTTTCCTCCTCTCCAGTGTTCTCTCCTGAAGGAGTTGACTTGTGTTGAGGCATAATTGCACAAATGTCCTCACTTAACCTCTCCTCTCTCCTCACCTATGAGGACATTTGTCATATGTGGGTCTGAAGAGCAATTGTCGACAGGGTATTCAATCATTGGGATGGGTGGGGGAACCCATTCAGGTTGAGTCAACAACACTTCAATAATGTGACTTTCCTGAAAGATTCACTGGACCAGGAGCTCTGGCTGGGGATTTCCCATGGCCAAATGTAGAGTCATTACTGACACCCCAGCTAAATCAACACAAAGGTCTACTCCGTGCACCTCAAGCTCTGCCCTCTGAGCCATCAGAAAAACGTAGCTCTGAAATGCTTAAAAAATGTATTTACAAAAAAAATGCAGAAATGAAAACAGGTACTGTTAATATCATTTTGAAAACAAGTTTCTGACCACCGACCACTGATTCTTTTTTCTGAGCAATACTGAATCTGCGTGCATTTCCCGAAACACATCATAATAATAATAATAATCCTTGCATTTGATATAGCGCTTTTCACATCTTCTAGACATCTCAAAGTACTTCACAGCATATGCCAACATCGATGACAGAAACACTGAGTATATGTGTTGTGTGTCCGCATCACTGGTCAACACATTGCTTTATAGTAACAAATGGGGTAAGAAAAAAAGCGGTGTAAACGTCTCCTTGAACCTATAAAAAAATGCAGCTGGAAAATAAAATATGTCTCCTCCAGAGAACCCCATGTACGTCACTTCAGCCAGCAAAAATCTGGCTTGGGTTGGAGCTGAGCTCTTGCAATTCAGAGTGAGAGGGTTAACAGAGGAAACCCGTCTGAGATCCAGACTCCCTTTTCACAGCTTCGATCGTGTCATTTTTTGTTGCCATCTTTCTGACGAGCGCTTCTTCAACCCTTCTTCAACAGCTTCAGGCACAAGTAGGCTTGTAGACAAGTAGGCCATCTCGCCAGCCCATCAAAAGAATGCTTCAGAAAACAGCTACTTCATTTTTTTAAAAAGTGCAATGAGCTTTGGACCATTGCAATGAAAACTGCTTGTTAATAAACATGATTTCCATAAGACGTAGGAGCAGGAGTAAACCATTTGGCCCCTCGAGCCTGCCCCGCCATTTAATAAGATCATGGCTGATCTTCTAACCTAATTCCATTTACCTGCCCTTTCCCCATATCCCTTAATCCCTCTATCCTTTAGAAGTCTATCAACTTCAGTCTTGAATATGTTCAAGGACTGAGCATCTACAGCCTTCTGGGGTAGAGAATTCCACAGATTCACTACCCTCTGAGTGAAGAAATGTTTTCTCAACTCAGTTTGAAAAGGCTGACCCTTAATCTTGAGACTATGACCCCTAGTTTTAGATTCTCCAACCAGGGGAAACAGTCTCACAGCATCTACCCTGTCAAGACCCTTAAGAATCTTATAGGTTTCTATAAGATCACCTCTAATTCTTCTATATTCTAGAGAATATAGGCCTAGTTTACTTAACCTCTCCTCATAGGTCAACCCCCTCATCCCAGGAACCAACCTAGTCAATCTACACTGTAACCCCTCTAAGGCGAGTATGTCCTTTCTTAAATAAGGAGACCAAAACTGCACACAATATTCTAGGTACGGTTTCACCAAGGCCTTATACAACTGCAGCAAGACTTCCCTTCTCTTGTAACGAACGCTAACATGGCATTAGCCTTCCTAGTTCCATGCTGTACCTGCATACTAACTTCTTGTGACTGGTGTACAAGGGTAACCAAATCCCTCTGAACACTAATACTACCTAGTCCCTCCCCCTCTAGAAAATAATCCGCTTTTGTATTTTTACTACCTAGGTGAATAACTTCACAAGGACCCGTTTATTCCTTCTCTCTGTTTTCTTCCTGTTAGCCACTCTCCAATCCATGCTAATATATTACCTTTAATTCAATTTGAAATGGATCATTGGTTCAGTGTTGTGCATTACATATCTTCATATCTTGTTTATTTAACATAAAAGATTTTAGTAGTAAAATAAAAGTCCGATAAATTAGTACCTCTTTTACACTATAACAGTCGTTTGTCTCCAGAGACGGGCCTGACTGTGGAAGCGAACCAGTAATGTACAATGGTCAGTTTTGCCAGTTCCAAATCCCCTCGAATCAAACTCTTAGTCAAATCTTCTGATGCCTCCTCGTCAGGGAGATCTGACTTGTTTCCAAAAAGCCATAGCATCAGAGTGGAGAAACCCAGTGATGTTGTGGGCTTGGGTGCAAATTTTGACTTCCATCAGGTGAGCATCGGAATTACATCAAAGTGCTCCCACAAACATCAACAGCCGTAGATTTTTGGGAGGCCACTGTTACTCTAATAACAATGGTGGAATCATGCTAAAAGCCACTAAGAAAAACGTCTGATTTTCAGGCACATAACCCGGCCTCCATTGCTCTTATTGATCAGGAGAGATAACCACTAAAGCATTCTCATGGCACACTGATCCTGTTTGAAAATCTGGATGTTACATGATATTACACAATGGCATTAAGACATCACAGGTGAAATGTTCTTTGCCTCAGGCATTCTCTGGAGGATTCATAAAAGCATTGCGTTCCAGTTTTTCCGGACTTAGGAACTGTCGAGGGCTGGGTTTAAAGCAATAAAAATTGGAGTTTCTTTTCCAAATCCCTAACTAGCAATGTTTTAGTTTCCCAATCACTGAAATAAATGTACGGTTGATCTGTTCCGAATTTTTGTTTCAAGGAAGGCTTGTGAGCAGCTCCTTTGCTTGGAGCTGATATCAGTCAGGGGTTGTCCAAGTTCAGTATAGTCTTCTACAGCATAAGTCACGAGTGACTCAGCTTTGTATTGTTTTAAATCTTTAAAGTGTGAGATTCAAGTAGAAGTGTCTGCAGTTCAAAATGATGACTGATGTAATTCTATTGTAAAATTCCGGATTATTTCTTTAATTCCTTGTTTACCCAATTACTGTTTTCCTCTCCCCCGCCCCCCACTCCCCGCATGTTGATCCTGATTAGCCTTGGCTCCACAGCCTTTTGCCACATGATGGTTTAGTGCCAGAAACCTATTTGAGCATGGACGGTATCATAGCTATGTCCAGTCCTTTCTTACTTGACATTCACATGAGCACTTTCCAACAGGAATCTTGGGATAGCAATTGTGGACTGTATCTCTCGCTGATTCTTTCCCCCCTCCCCCTCCCCCGCCTGAGCCTTAGGTCCCTGAGGCCAATTGGAGTTCTCTCTCCTGCTGTCCCAGATGAAATCCGCTAACTCAGCAAAGACCTGCGATTGAACCTTCTAGGCCCGTGCGTCTCAATTTCACTCTTGGCAGGGGCTTTATCGACTGAGATTTCGAGGGAGCTTTAATTTCTTTTTAATGTAATGTTAATCTCTGGAGCCTTGATATCCAAATTACTTCCACAGTTAAATTTTAGTGGAAAAAAAGTATCCCGATGTTTGCAGGATTATCGAACGTTGGGATAGATATTTTGGATTTTGAAAGCAAAATGTTGTCAATAGCCTGTTGTGGTTCAGCTGAGAACAGAAGCACTGCAGTTATAACTTTTACCTGTTTCTGAACAGCAGTACTTTACTTATAGTTTTTACCTGCCTATGTGAACGGTAGCTCTCCACTTATAACTTTGGCCTGTCTCTGTAAACAGCAGTACTTGTTTTTTTTACCTGAATCTGTGAACGGCAGTGCTACACTTATTACCTGTCTATGAGTTTCACAGCAGAATCAGTTCTCTTCCTGTTTATTAACTTTTCAAAACTTTTAAAACTTGTTCTCTGGTTAAACTGTTCTATACATAACGTTTCATGTTAGTGTTTCACTTTGAAATCCTTAAAATTCTTTATCCTTTCAGGGTAAACACGACCGTTGTTGTTGGGGTGGGCGGAATGGACAAAATTCTCTGATGAAACAAACATGACATTGTTCTGAAGAGATGTTTAATGTTTTGTGTAAGCGAACTGATTAATGCTGGTGTAAAGGACATGTATATTCATAGGAAGTTGACCTGCACAGCAATAACCCCTGCACTGTTCCCGCATAGCACATCTGAAATCTGATGATTTTCATGGCCTTAAGACCAATGTCTTAAAATATAAGATTGTGAAGAATTTGGAGAAATACTTTAATTTGGAAAATGTTTTTCCAGAAATCCTTTCTTTCCTTTGGCAGTAAACCATCTTCCAAATTGAGAAAATCTGAACAATCATACTTTTTAAAGGTCTTAAGGCTAAGACGAGGTGCAATCTCTGGCCTCAGAAGGTCGCAGGTTCGATCCCTTGGCCTGGGGCAGCACTTGGGTGTAGTTGTTTTTCACACTCCTACTATAAAGAAGGGAGAACCAAACCTGAATGCTTTTCAGTCCTCTAATGCATACAGAATAACCAGTAATCCTTTTTATCAATTGCTGGTTACCATAAAGGGCACCTACATTTCTTTCTGAACACGTG